AATTTTCATCACACAATATTAGTCCAGGGTAGGAGTCGAACCCACGACCACCCACGACTGGATCACTAACTACTAGACACAGGCCAGGGAATTTTAAAAATGATTGTTACTTATTTTGAAGAAAAATATAGCGACTACAGTTTCACTGAAATGTTCCTCTTATAAAACCTATTAAATAATTAGCAAGGCATTGCTTTGAACATTTCAAACTATGATCGATCCTATCATTAAATAATCAATTCTGTGATTTGGCCAGTACATACAAATGTATTATACAATATTGGCTTTTGATGTTATTTGATTACTAATTAATAATAATTATGAAATGCAGGATCAGTTTTTTTTTTACAAGACGGGAGGTCTTGTAAAAAAAACAACTGATTCTTCAACGTTCCCCCCAGTTAACGGTTTTGGGGGAGAAAGAATGTTACTTTGTTTTTTTTTTTCGTTTTTTTGTTTTAAAGACAACTCCCGTATTAGGAATATATCATGTGTCGCGGGGGACTTTACAAACATACGTGAAACTTACACAAAGAATACCCAGACTCAGAAGAACAATTTGTGGATCACACAAAGTCTCGTTCCATGTGGCAGTCGGCGCAGTAGGAAGCAGCATGGCGACCGCTTAAACCACTACGCCATCCGTGCAGTCAAAATTGCTCTTAGTTGTATAACTTTACATCATAATAAAAATCAGCTTTCTAACTCAACAAAGCCATACCAGCTATGGGATTACTTCATAATTATTTTATAAAACTGCTCTGTCACACAAGCTTCCACCATGCTATTAATACAACGGGTAACACCAAGGAAACGCAGTTATCCTCAATGATTTTCCAGAACTACCGACATAGCACAAATATTCCCATCACAAAAAAACGCTGACCACTTACGGTGCTCATTAGTGGCGCCTTACAAGGCTGCGCTTGCGCACCACCGCTAGTTACGACTGGTTACGTCACTTCACAATTAACAAGATCCTTCTATAATTAGCTCTTATGGTCCAGGCTTGTGTAATAAATCCTTATTTTGTAAGTTAAGTGAGGATAGGAATGATGCCTTTTATGGTATTATGGTTTTGTATTGGCACTAAGATTCTAAATAAATAAGAGTAAGTCCAGGTAATAAGTAGCTACCCGCAGGCCGTCAGTGGGCAGGCACGGTGTGGCGGCCTAAGCGCATGAAGACGCCATCGGGGCGCAACATATTGTTTTGGCCTAATAGCGGGACTAAGCTTGCAGATTCTGCCGGGATAGGACCTGGATAGGCGTGGCGTCCATTCAGGGGGATCTTGAAATCACATGGTTACGAGTATTAGTTAAGCTAGCTCACCGGACAGGACATTTCATTTGTCTTAACCCAATAAAATTTACTTTTAAAAACCTGATGTTTATACTAAGTAGGTACTGACGATTTTTGACCTTGTTCCAATGATTGCCATTCTGGCACGTTAATGGTCACTGTTTTATCTAACTTAAATGACTCAATAACAGTAAACGGTATCTGACGCAGCAATCAAAAGTCCTATTGCCCAATGCCGATTAAAAATACCTTGTATAGTAATTTGATGCAGGAAAATGACTGTTTGCTCTCTTTGTTCATTAAAAAAAAAACTCAATTTGAGGGGCGTGCCATATACTACGCAGGCTATGTCCGTCGGCTAGCTTCAGCTCCATATCCACTACATCACCAGCTCCATCTAGTTCATTCTTATCTATGCGTACATACATCCGCTGCTTGATAAACAACTGATATGTACTTCTTTAGATAATTCTTAAAATTCTTTGCTTTTAATTAACAATGTATGTATACATTTCGCAATCAAAGTAAGTAAAAATACAATGAAAACAGTTTTAATTTGGGTTGTAGGCGGGTCTTTAAATCATAAGCCTTAATAGGATTTCCGTATTTCCATACCTACCTACCTACCTACGATTTAGATTCATATAGATTAGGTATGGAGATAATTTAATTCTTGAAGAAGGACATTGGCTTCTTTAAACCGCGTTAGCCGACATACACGCGGGCTAAGCCGCGGTCAAAAGCTAGTAATTAATAAATTATAATAATATAATGATTTTGGTATATTAACTTTGTATGTGTGGTCCGTGTGGTGACGGATTAAGAATACAGAGTGTCACCACCCCTATTCATCCCGTGGGTGTCGTTAGAGGCGACTAAGGGAGCGAACTACGCAAGACAACAGCACTTAAGAGAGAAGGAAAACTTGACACAAACCCTATACCAAACCCGTTTGGCCAGCGTGGTATAGTAGGCCAAAACCTCCTTTCTAAGGAGAGGCCTATGTCCAGCAGTGGAATGTTAAAGGCTGTTGATGATGTTGATGAACTTTGTATGGATTCCGATTAACTTTTAAATACATGGTTAACTTTCAAAAACTTAAATCTGACTTCAAAGCTCCTACATCGTGTTGAATTGTAAGCTACTCTATTCAATTCAATTCAATTCAATTTATTTGCGATAATATGGGTTTTACAAAAAGAAAAACAGGTGGAAATCTATGCTCTTGCTGGAAAGTCTGAGCCTTTTAACTATTTTTTAATCTTAATCTTTTTGGAAGAGCCTAGAAGAGATCGCAGGCTGCTATAGGCCGCCCCTTGTATCACTGTTTTTTTTGTATGTATCATCGCATGTATCCTAATTATGCTGTGCAATAAAGAGTACCTATCTATCTATCTTTTTTTATAATATAGCAGTCATATGACTGATTTGTCACCTAAGGTTAAGTGACTACCACTGTTACTATTTATTCTCGTTTTGTTTGAGTCAAATCATCCTTTTTAATGTTAATAGTTAATGTTTTTAGGGTCCCGTACCTCAAAAGGTATACCCATATAAGATCAATTTCCTGTCCGTCTGTCCGTGTGTCACCACCGATTTCAGGAACGGGTAGACCTAGCATATTGAAATTTATACCAGATACTGAGGTCTATGGTCCCTATTAAGTGTATGAAAATCAAGGTCCTGAGTCAACACCATAAAAAGGTATTGGCGAATTCCGATTTTCGCGAAAACTTGTAAGTACCAAAATTTACCTTAATTTTCAACTTTTTTTATTTTTCAGAATTTTCTCTTTACTTGTGCTGTAATACCTTGCTTTTAACCAAAATTGACAATTCTAGGTCAACCGGAAGTACCCTATAGGTTTTGGGTCGAAAACCTTTATGGTAGTTCCCGTTGACCTTTAAGTTGAAAATTAAGATAAATTTTGGTACTTAAACCCTAGATTACGACCCTAAATTAGGTTCGACTCGTACCTGTTTCAGCTTGGTATGTATGTATGTAACGGAATATTCGAACGAAAAATAAATAGAAAATAAATAAAAATGAATAAAAGTTTATTCGAATTGTATTCGAGGTATTTAATAAGATAATACCTTTACTTTTACCAATATCTGTAAGTGTCAAAATAATTATACAATAATTGAGATTTAGCACCCCACGCATTTTTACGATAAGATGATTTTTCTTTTGGAAGTTATTGAAAATTATTTCCTACTTTTTAGAGCTTTTTTTTTCCAACTTTTTAGTTCGGCCAGCTACAAAAGCTTGTTTTTTTCCAACTTTTTAGTTCGACCAGCTACAAAAGCGTGTTTTTTTCCAACTTTTTAGTTCGGCCAGCTACAAAAGCGTGTTTTTTTTTCCAACTTTTTAGTTCGGCCAGCTACAAAAGCGTGTTTTTTTCCAACTTTTTAGTTCGGTAGTTAAACTATAATTTACTATGTCCGATTCATTATTAGTAGTACAATTATCACTGTCGGATATTATATTGTATACAAGCTGAAAATATCAAAATGTATGTTATTCTTTTTTTTCTCATTTAATATTGTATACATCATTACCAGTACATATTTAATGTTTTCCAGACTGTTTAATGAGTTTGATAAATTAAGAGACATTTTCAGTAGATAAGAAATAAAAGATATACAGCTATACGAAATAGATATGTTATCAGGCGTACGGTCGAGTGCTTGTGTGATCGACCTCCTTGCAGAACACTACCGACAAGAAACCACTCCTTAAAAATAAACCATTACGCAATTTTTTCGATCCTTTTCACCGAGTGAGTGAGGTTACCGCAGTCAAACCCCTTTTACCCCTGATTCTGGGGGGAGGACTCGCAGGAAAGCAATCCAATTGTGACTTTTGACTCACTGGTGTCCATGGACGGATGTGGTTATTTACCAACAGGTGATCCGTCTGAGCGTCTACCCTCTTATACCATAAAAAAATATGCGTGACAAAGGTCTTTTATCTAGTTACTGCAGTTTTCTGCTTTCGTCCAGTTCAGTCAATCGTCCTATCCGTTTTCCTTCCCAAATGTATTTCTTTTCTTAGTCTCGATTCCCCAAGGAGGGTTGGCGTCAGTCAGGCCGCTGGCCGTAAAAGATATCAGCGGAAGATATCACTTGCGGACTGAACTCAAAAAAAGTAGTAACTTCTGCCTGATTGTTCACATAAAAAAAAGGAACATTGGTAATTATATATTAATTTTTTAACAATGTAAAAAGTAACTTGTAAAAAAGCTTGTTGTAAAAGAATGTCCTTGGGGTATTTTGGCTGTTCTGCTCCATAGGATCTACATATTGGAACAGCAAACCAGCATATTCTGACTGGCTCCTACAAAAATACCTAATATTACAATACATATTATACTTAAAAGATATAATTGATTTATCAAAGGATTATAATCGTAAGGTGGCTATTTAATACACATGGTTCGCACTATTTTTTGGCCATTATACGAAATGAAGTCAAAGCTTGAACAGCATTAAGTATCGTAACCTCAGGAACCATAATGCAACTGCACACCTGTATTGTTATTTGAACAAATAAAAAAATACGTATAATAAAAACAGTAACAATATTATCCCATAAAATATCTGTACACCTGCTTGCGATACGCTATCATAATAGATAACGATTAAACAACCAGTCGGTAGTGAAATGTCAAAGGGAGAACACACATAGATACAAAAATGGAGAACCAGAACAGTCTGCAAGCTGTGAAAGTGGAAGTTCCTGGTAGACACGACAGGGCTGTGGATCCTGATAGGCCGAAAACGAAAAAAAAGAGTTCTAAACCAAGAAGTAGTGAATTTGTGTACGTGAATAATGCTTATGTTGGCAGTTTAAGCAGTGTGAACGATGTGCGAACACAGGCGCCGCCTACCAGGTTTGTATTTAAAAGAAAATGAAGTAAATCTCACACGTACAAACACACTAACTAATACACAGTGTATACAAGCACGCACCCAAACCTATGCACACACACACACACACATACATACACACACAGTCTTAATATATGTATATGCATATAATTTTTTTTCTATTGATTTCTGTTACAAAAAAATAACTACCACAACAGACACAATAAATGCATTACATTTTTATTATTATTTTGGGGACTGGACCCCACGACACAGGGAATCCTAGTGTGGAGGGCCAGATATTGGGATGTTTTAGCAGTTAAGTGTACTGATAAAATCTGTGTATATGTTTTTGCATGAACAAAGTTTTTTATTTTATGAAATTGTGAAATTTAATCTTAGTTACAACTTTATCGATAAGGTATTGCGCGTAATAATATTTTAAGGATGAGCCTACAGTCACTGCTTAGTCTTACATAAAAAAAGGTTCTTTATTTAATACGTTTGTTACATCAAAACTCCGTTATTTATGAACGGATTTGGAAATTTTTGTTTTTACTTAGGACCGTTTAATTCCCATTTGATCCCAATTAAATTTGAATTTATAAAAGCACCGCAGCTAAGGGTGGAAAACCGTTAAGGATGGAAAATTATGGACTGAAGAATGCAGATTATTCCAATAGAATACGGTACAATAGAAGTTGGTAATACTTTTTAAAGTAATAACCTATTTGAGTATAAAAACAAGTTTTATCAATTACATGATAAGATTCTTACGTAAATTAATAAACATCTCATATCATCATCATCCTATCGCAGTCCACTGCTGGACATAGGCCTCTCCCATTGCACGCCACTTAGATCGAATTTGGGCTTCTCGCATCCAGCTCCTGCCAGCCATCTTGCGCAAATCGTCACTCCACCTGGCCTAACAATCTCATATAGATTAGTATTTATTAACAAACTAGCTGAATGCAAACGTGGTTTGGCTATTTACATTATTTAAAAAAAAAAAATTTTTGAAAATTCTTAAAATCCGTTCTTAGCTGACCTCTACTCGGTGAAAAGAATATTCCTACCAAATTTCAAGTCTTTAGCGCTAATGGTTCCAGAGATATCGTGATGAGTGACTATATACGTGGAAATCTCTTATACTCGTATATATATAGATATATATTCTGTATGTATATGACTACCTCGGTGGTGCAGTGGTAGCGTATGCGACTGCTGTGCTGAGATCTCTGGTTCGAATCGGGTCGGACCAAATGTTCGTATAATCTGCAAATATTTGTTTCGGAGTTTGGGCGTTTTCTATGTATAATATGTATGTATTTACAAAAAAAGTATATAAGTATTCTATCAGTCAATCTAGTTTTTATAGACAAGCTCTGCTTAGTTAGAAACTAGATGGCGTTGTGTGTCAGATGTCCAAAATATTATGTGGTGATGGCAGATGGACGGAGTTTTTTCATATGGACATAGACATTAACAAAAAAACTGTACAACTCAGCGGAATTTTTTCATCATCATCATCATCATCAGGAAATCATTTTTTTTTCTTTTGTTCATCAACAGCCTTTACTAGTCCACTGCTGGACATAAGCCTCTCCTTAGAAAGGAGGTTTTCTAAGCTATTCAGCATTGTATTACGTTTATTATACCCAAAACTACATTCCCTTAGGATATGTTGTGCAGACTGTTCATCAACAGTCTTTAACAGTCCACTGCTGGACATTAGCCTCTCCTTAAAAAGGAGGTTTTGGCCTTCTATACCACGCTGGCCAGACGGATTGGTATAGGCTATGTGTCAAGTTTTCCTTCTCTCTGCAGCGCTGTTGTCCTGCGTAGTTTTCTCCTTTAGTCGGCTCTTACGACACCCACGGGATGAATAGGAGTGGTGACACTCTGTGTTCTTAATCCGTCACCACACGGATGGTTCTTTTGGTATTTTCACAAAATCTATGCATATAAAATTACTAGTGACTGAGTGACTGATTGATTCTTGAATGCAGAGCCTAAACTGCTAAGGCTACAAACTTGACATTTTGGCAGCTGATGATTTTTATGTTGAAAGCACCCACTATTAAAGAATTTTTGGAAATTCTACTTCTAGGGGAGTAAAATAAGGGATGAACGGTTGTACGGAAGTTCGTCATTTTCAAAGTTAAAAACACGTAATAAGAATTATTCACGCGACCTTATTATTATTATTATTAAGTTAATAAACTATGCTTAAAATAAAATAAAATAACTTAATAAAAATTTCATTTTTTATTTGTCAGAGTAATTTATGTAACTATTGTGATAAAAATTTAAAAGTTGTTTGATTGTTAGTTTAGCTAAGCGAAATCACTGAATTATATTTTGATTGATGAAGGTAAGAATGCTATGTAACTTTACGATACGACCTTCAGGAGGAAAATAACGACATTGACATTAAATGCAACGTTGACGTATAATACAAAGTACTACTAACTAACGACTAGTTTCAAAAGAAAATAATTTTAACACATCGCACACAGGGTCGTCTGATCCCTAACTTAGCAGAGGCTGTGCTATGGTAACCACACTGCTAGGGTTTTCCCTTCCACCCGCCATAACGGCCAGCGAGTAGGCGACGTCCGAGGATGGTACCCGCGCCGTTACGGGCCGGCGTTAGGAGGGGTCTGCATGTCTTAATAACAGCAGTTCCTGATTCCTCCTATTACAGGCGCAGAGTAGCACACCGTGTGGCTTTAGTCTTTAGTAAAAAAAGGTAGATTAAAAAAGATAACAATAAAAGGAAATGAATACTACTTATACTGCTTTGACAGCTGGATGGCGTAATGGTTTGTGTAACGGACTGCAATGCCAAAAGTTGCTTGTTCGATTTCCTTTCAAGTCAAAAATTTGGAACGTGGACATTTAATGTTTGATTTGGTCTGGGTGTTTCCATGTATGATATGTATGCGTATCAGTTGTTTTAGTACAAGCTCTGTTTAGTTTGGGACTAGATGACATTGTGTACATGTGGTAGAATATTATACGGATGAATTGAGGAGTGTATATAGCTCAATCAGGCCAGAATCTCTTACCTAATACTCTAACTGGCTATATCCATGAAAGTCCGAGGCCTCTAAAAGAACAGCACTTCTTGTTCTTCTTCGTATCATCTCCTTCAAGCTATTTAATGCTGTTCTTTTCTGTTGCCCATAACTAGATCGTCCGAGACCCAGGGTCGAGGCTCCAAATGTGTTATTATATAACTTTCTGCCATCACGCCCAGATGCTTCTACTCTGTAAGTGACTATTTCTTCCGCACATATAATGAATAGCTTATATCAGATCTTTCATTATGATACCCCTGTGCTTATTTGACAACTTAGTAATAATAAAAACTTGAAACATCTCACACAAGGCAGTCTAATTCCAAACTAGGCAGAACCTGTACTATGGTACCCAGACTGCTGATACAACTTCTTATATATTTCTAAATACATATTATAGATAAATTACACCCAGACACAGGACAAATGATCGTGCTCATCACAAAATATTTGTCCTGGGTGGGAATAGAACCTCCGGTTTAGCAGTCACAGGCCCGTTAAAATCGTGATCTTGACTAATATTATAAATGCTAAGGTTTAGCCACAGGAAAGCCATGGCCAAAATTGGCCTAAAGGAAAGAAATAGGTCACGGATATGTCCGTGTGGTGACGGATTAAGAATACAGATTGTCACCACCCCTATTCATCCCGTGGGTGTTGTAAGAGTCAACTAAGGGAAAAAAACTACGCAGAACAACAACACTGCAGAGAGAAGGAAAACTTGACACAAACCCTATACCAACCCGTCTGGCCAGCGTGGTATAGTAGGCCAAAACCTCCTTTCTAAGGAGAGGCTTATGTCCAGCAGTGGACCATTAAAGGCTGTTGATGAGGTCACGGATAGGAAAAGGGACTGATTTTAGACGTTGGAGGGCCATGCTACGCCACAAATTTGCAAGCTTGACCGGAGTGATACCCCGTGGTATCAGGGGTACCGGAGTGATACCAAGGGGTATCACTCCGGTCCCTCACAGCTGCTAGTAACCGAGTGATTGAGGTTACCGGAGCCTAAAACCCCCTTACCATTTAGCTCAAAGGGAGGAATTGCACGTGTGACTCTTAAGTTGCAGTTGTTGGTGGTTGGTGTGATAATAACGAACTTAAATCCAACCGTTCATCCCTTACTTAATCCCTTTAGGGGTAAAATTTTCAAAAATCCTTTCTTAGTGAGTGCTTACAACACAAAAAACATGAGCTGCTAAAATTTCAAGTTTGTAGCTTCAACGGTTTAGGATTTGCGTTGATGCATCAGTGAGTCATCCTTTCTAAGGAGAGGCCTATGTCCAGCAGTGGACTATTAGAGGCTGTTGGTGATGACCAGTTATAGTAAAAAAACAAAAGTTCCGATACATGGTCACTACTCTCTGGCTCTTCCAAAGTCCCTTTGTGTCTATGTAAAGTCTATTTGTTAAAAAAATATCGTTTTAACTTTATCTAGTTAGCAACAAAGCAAGTTTGGCAAGTTTTACGTAGAGTGAAATTAAATTCGTCGCACGTACGCCATCCATCAGTGATACTGATAACACAGTTATCCATCAGATAACACCACTTTCAGAACATGTATCAGACAAATATTGTACAATATTATATTGGTATTTTTAAGAATGGGTAGAAAAATGTACATTTTGAAAAACAATGCTTGACAAAACCTTCTCCGTACAAGCTGCATTATTGTCAGACACTATCAGAGAAGTACTGTCACTAAACTTCTTCAAAAACTACTCAAGGATTATTCCTTTCTAAACCTTTTCCTGGGTCGCAATTCCCAGCGCTGTCGAAGTCGCTTGTGATGCCCTCCAAATCCATGGAACGCTAAGAAACAGATCTTCCATCTCTAAAGTAACTATTTATTCTATGTTGGTATTGTTTGTACGTGTGTGTACATGTATGTATGTATTATTTCAGTCCAAACTACTAAAATAAATTTAAATAAGAAAATATTACCTGTAAATCGTATTTGTTTGTAGAGGCAACATTATTATTTTTTGGAATTCTATAAATTAATTGGCAATTATTTTCTCTTCTGTGGTTTAGGTAGTGGTTTAAGCGGTCACCTCACCGCTTCCTACTGCGCTGAGTGTTGTGGGTTCGATTTCCACATGGGACGACACTTTGTGTGATCCACAAATTGTTGTTATGAGTCTGGGTGTCCTTTGTGTCCGTTTCATGTATGTTTGTTAAGTCCCCCGCGACACAGGATTTATTCTTAGTGCGGGAGTTGTGTTTTTTAAAACAATCAATTTTCTTTTCTGGCAATAAGTTTTCTATCTCTATTCGAGGCTACGGTCTCGAACGACCCCGGGATATAGTCGGTTCATCTTCTCTTGAATGTGAGCTGGCAGGGTCATGGGTGCAATGCGTGGCAGTACCGATGTTTGTGAAAGTGCATATTGAACTATGAAGGTTTTAAATCGAAATACCTATAGGTCTGTATTTTGTATTTTTTCAAAAAGGTCTACTAAACTATTATCAACTACTATATACTACTAATATACTATAGTACTACCGAAATTACTAGTATTCCTCCCGCTAAGCTATATTGCTTCTGTTAGGAGTGGGTTCAAGTCGGTAGTGTACTGGTCAGAATTCGAACCCACGACCTCCTGATCGCAAGTCCAAATGCTTTAACCACTAGGCTAGATTTATAGGTTAGGTTAGCTTATTGGCAGCTAGGTTAGCTTATTGGCAGAAATATAGGCATGCACTGCGTTTAGCAACAACTTAATATCGAATGAATTAAAAAAGATAAATTTTAAATTAATAAATATTTAATAAAATCTGATACCAATGATATTTCTTTTCAAATATTTTTTTATCAATAAATTTAGTCATTTTTATTGGCCCTAAATCGTATCTGGTTTCGACAGCCCTGATTTAAACAATACAAAACGCAGGTATTATGACGTGTTTTTAGTGCCAACTAAATTGTATATCAAAACACGATAAATGAATATTATAAAGCTTTAAACTAAGCCGAGGATTAGGGTAATTTATCAGACTTGATTGAAGTAACTAAGTAAGTGGTGACCAAAACACGTATTTGTTAATCTATACAATTAAATAAAATTGGAGTGTCTGTTTGTAATATTAAAATAACCGCTTTTTACTAAATGCATATGTATGTTTACATGGTACATATGCCAAAATAACATTTTTTACAATTTTTGTCTGTCTGTCTGTTTGTTCCGGTTAATCTGGAACGGCTGGACCGATTTCGACGGGTTTTCACTGGCAGATAGCTGATAAGGAGTAACTTAGGCTACTTTTTTTAGACTAGCTTCGCCCCGCGGCGTTGCCCGCGGTTATAACAACAAACGCGGGTAACACCGCGGGTCTCAGCTAGTTTACATATATCTATACTAATATTATAAAGCTGAAGAGTTTGTTTGTTTGTTTGTTTGAACGCGCTAATCTCAGGAACTACTGGTCCGATTTGAAAAATTCTTTCAGTGTTAGATAGCCCATTTATCGAGGAAGGCTATAGGCTATATATCATCACGCTAAGAGCAATAGGAGCGGAGCACCAATGAAGAATGTTTCAAAAACGGAGAAAATTTATTACTATTGAGAGACGCAGACGAAGTTGCGCGGGTCAGCTAGTAATTTAATATAGGCAGATATAATCCGACCTATTTAGGGTACCGTAGTTCTAAGAAGGTGTCTTTATAATTATGCTTTGCCCGTCCGTCGGTCCGACGCTTAGCTTTTAAACTGTTAATACTAAAAAGCTGTACCTTTGCATATTAATGTATATTAATCATGATAACAAAGTGGTAAAATATGGTGGTGGTTATGTCGGACATGAACTGACCAAAAACAAAAACTCCGACGGACCCCAAGCCATCAACGGCCTGTAGATACCCCCCCCCATTCTACAACCTAAAGGGCGCTCGCGCTCCACCGCTCAACAACAGCTTGGCCAGCTTCTGATAGTGTTTCACCTGAATATCAACTGTATTTCAAACGGCAGACATATAGGCATTAGGAAACAACTTTATGTCCGTATCCGCATCTGTATTCGAGGATCCAGATTTGGATCCGAATTATCGGATATACATTCTTACCAATAGGGCACATCACTAATTAATTAGCATTTGATTATTTAGATCTCGCATATCTAATTGTAATTCTATAATGTATGTAACAATATCTTATCAATGATAGATTAAATTGTTAAATGCCATTTACGAGTATGTCATGAAGCTTTGGTAATACAAATAATAGAAATGTATTCGTCAGTACATTATTAGTGTATTACAGATAATTATCTGATTAACGTATTTTCTTGATAATATAATAATTAATAAAAAAACACACATCTCACACACGGCCGTTGAATCCCAAACTAGGCAAAGCCTGTACTATGGTAACCAGACTAATAAACATAGGTACTTATATATTTCTAAATCATCATCATCAACAGCCTTTACTAGTCCACTGCTGGACATAGGCCTCTCCTTAGAAAGGAGGTTTTGGCCTACTACACCACGCTGGCTAGACGGGTTGGTATAGGGTTTGTGTCAAGTTTTCCTCTTCTCTGCAGTGCTGTTGTCCTGCGTTGTTTGCTCAATTAGTCGCCTTTTACGACACCCACGGGATAAATAGGGGTGGTGACACTCTGTATTCTTAATCCATCACCACACGGTTCTAAATACATACATAATATAGATTATTATGTATGTATTCGGTTCTAAATACATACATAATATAGATTATTATGTATGTATTTAGACACAGAACACAGACACAGAACAAATGACCGTGCTCATCACACAATTATTTGTACTGGGTGGGAATCGAACCCATCGGTTTAGCAGTCAGAGTCACTAACTACTCACACAGGCCCGTCGTAATATCTTCATCAAAGCAATTAATGAATAGGATTGATTTTATTCTTTTAAAGTTATTAAAAGTTGGGTCAGACAGCGGGCGAGGCGGGACCGCGACGTATTGTAGTTTTTTTTTGGAGTAAAAATTTGTTGGACGCAATTAATTTAATATCCAGTCCAGATGATCTCCTTATCCTTGTGGCTTCTTTGGCTACAGGAGGAGATTCCAGGAGTTTGTTACTTTTTACCCCTGGTTTTTACCTGCATTGGTGTTTAAAAATTAACTGTTTCTATTTATTTACTTAAGTTGGTCAGTTACAAGGTAAAAAAAATATGTTTAAAATTTGTTATTATTGGCAAAATACAACAAAAACATGTCGTTGCAGAACATAAGTACTTGATAACAATTGATATGCTATACGATAGATAACTTATCATCAGCTATTACCCTGATGTTACGCATGGAGTGCTGGTCTGTGTACTGATGGACTCATTTCTCTTACTTTAAAATAATAGACAGGGGAATGACCGTTGGGCACGCCCTTATTGCAGTGGTAAGACCTGTTATAGGGGCTTGGCTGGAGATACAACACGGGATCTCATACCGATTGACGCAGGTGATCACCGGGAAAGGATGGTTCGGAGATCACCTGTGTCTTATCCGCAAGGAACCACCGCCCGAGTGCCGCCATCGCGATGGCCAGACTGCAAAATGCCCGTCGTTGGTGGAGCAGAGGCGTGTCCTCGAGACGGCCATCGGAGTGGGAATTCTCTCTCTCGGTACCGTGGTCGCGCCATGGTACGGAGCGAGAGTATGTGGAACTCCGCCGTTTCCTTCTACGATCAAGTTATGCTTGCGAAGGAGAAGGATGCACGCTTATGCACACAGTAAAATGGGAGGCAAATACTGACTGAAATAAACTTAATATTTAAACTTATTAGTAATATTATATTCAGTAAGCATACACAAGCTAGAAGAGGGAATCATCTTCTTTCCTCTTGCCTCTCGATACGTAAATATTGTATTTATATATAATTTCTTTTACAGTGTGGTACGTGAGCAGTACTGGGCCTGTTCAAAATGGCCGCACGCACAACGCATCTTGGCTGTGGCAGTTGGACTCCTTCTTGGAGCGGTGATAGGCCTCGCCGTAACTTTAGTTATCAATGCAATAAGCCCTGACGCTAATCTATCAAACCTCTTCGACACCTCGGCCCCTGATTAAAGCAAGAACTCGGTGTTTAAAGAAAAGTGGTCAAATTATAATGTAAACGGTGATAGACATTTATTAGTCTTTAGAATGTATTAGTGTGTGTCTATGGGACAATTGTGTGTGTGTGATTTTATGAAATATGTGTGATAATAGGCTGTAATAAGTACTGTACTATAATAAATAGTGTGTGCATGAAAGCTATTCCATTCTTTTTTTTTTGTAGAAAAGTTTGAGAATGTGGCCATGCTTTTGAAATTTACTACGCTTTCACAAATGATTGTTTGTTTAAGTGTGTGTATGAATACACAATGATCATGACACGTTAAAAAATCACTATTGACAACAGAACAACAGACGTTTCTTGTCTAATTCATCTAAAGAATAGTATGTTGTAAATATGTTTAATTATATATACATACATATAAAATTGTGTTGCATTTATTAATGAACGAGAAGCTACAATATACTTCAGTGTGTATATATAAGCTATGTAAGATAAATTTGACGTCGAAAATCAAATGTAAAATAAGTATTTTTGTGTAATAAACAATATCATAATTCTTAGTATTATGTAGTTTAAAATAAAACTAAATTTTTTTTCTTTCTAGGTCTTCGTTACATTTTGTATATGATTTACTTCATTTAGTCATTAGATTCTTATATAAAGCTTAAGCTAAAATAAAACTACGAGTAGTATACCTATATTATGACTATGAAAAAAAAGTAAAATCAAAATAATTTGCAATCGGCCTGAGCTAGGCAATAAATACCTGTGTTTCAGGTAGTCGCTTGACTATGATGTTACAGTTCTAATAGATTAATAATATAAATTACTTGAGGCTAGTTTGTATACACAAATATATATTACTTCATCATCAGCCTATCGCAGTCCACTGCGGGACATAGGCCTCTCCCATTGCGCGCCACTTAGATCGATTTTAGATCGACTCTAATTAATTTCCGTATGCGCATTCGTATCCGTGTAGTGACGGTGTCTGTGTAGTGACGGATTAAGAATACGCAATGTCACTACCCCAATTCATCCCGTGGGTGTCGTAAGAGCCGATTAAAGGCGCAAAATAACGCAGGACACCAGCACTGCAAGAAGAAGGAAAACCTGACACAAACCCTATACCAACCCGTCTGGCCAGCATGGTATAGTAGGCCAAGACTATTAAAGGCTGTTGATGTGATGATGATGATTCGTATCCGCGGATTTTGATTTTTAATGAACCAGCACATCACTAGTAGTATGTTATATAATAATAATTCTATGTATTAGTAAATATAATTTTAATTTAGTTTGTAAAATAAAATAAAATACTTTGTAAATATGAAATATTTGTATTTTTAATGGGTGATGCAAAATTGGTGTCCTGAGTCTGGGTGTTCTTTATGTCCATTTCCCGCGACATAGGATATATTCGTAGTGTGGGAGTTGTCTTTAAATAAATGCATTAAAGTAAACATAAAATTTATTGATGGATTTCATTGTAATTACCTATTTGCACTATTTTCACAACCTCACAAATCATGTTGTAGAGATACTGGATAAAGGAGAAAAATGTGTTGGTATTTTTTTGGACTTGGCTAAGGCATTTGACGCGCTCTCTGTACTCTTGTTAAAGGTGAAGTTGGAAAAGATTGGTATAAGGGGCAAGCAGTTAAAATTGTTTGAGAGCTACCTGACCGATCATACACAATCTGTGAAGATTGGTGAACATCTCAGTGGGAGCATGCCAGTAGAACATGGTGTCCCGCAGGGTAGTATTCTTGGGCCCACACTATTCCTTGTCTATATAAATGATATGTGCAAAATAGAACTGAAGGATGGAAAACTACTGGCATTTGCCGATGACACAGCATGCTTTTAATACTGCTCAAACTGGCATTGATAAGGTAATGAATTGGCTAACACTAAATGCCTTGTCTATAAATGTAGACAAGACCAAATATTTGACTTTCACCTTAAGGGATTCAGTTGCTGTGGATAAGTCAATATTGCCAATTATCGCACATAATCATGTAGTAAATACTCATCACACATGTAACTGTCCTAAATTAAATAATTCTACTACTATAAAATACTTAGGAGTGATCATAGATGAAAAACTTAGCTTTACACCTCACATCGATTTTTTAACGGCACGAATCCGTAAGTTAATATATATTTTTAAGCACTTGAGGCATGTCGCAGAACCTAAAATTTTAAGAACAGCTTATTACGCATTATGTCAATCGTTGATTGGATATTGTATTTTGTCCTGGGGTGGCGCGGCAAAAAGTAATTTGATACGAGTGGAACGAGCGCAGAGAGCAGTACTAAAAGTGACAAACTTCAAGCCATATCGTTTTCCTACAAGGGATCTATATGACCACTGTAAAGTACTAACAGTACGACAAATGTTTGTACTACAGGTTGTGCTGACGCAACACTCACTCCTCTCCCGACACAGTCAACCGATATCTACTACCTTGTCGTCTACGCGAAGATTTAAATTACCACGTAGTGCCCCTCATAAAACATCGTTTAGCCAAAGATTCTCATGTTTTCTTGGTCGGTTTCTGTATAATAAAATAAATAGGATTTTATTTATAGCGAAAATGACTAAGCACGAATGTAAAACTATAGTAACTGAGTGGCTTTGTAAATTGTCATATGAGGACACGGAGACTCTTATTCATCCAACATCGTAAACATGTGCTCATCATACTCTAACAGCCACGCTCCATAAGCTCACACGCGCCCACACATACACACACACACACACATACACACTCCGCACACACAAATGCACACACACACAAATGCACACACACACAAATGCACACACACACACTCACAGACACGCACATTGCGAAGGTTAGACATTCATATCATTGGTGATGTTTTTAGAATGGCTTACTTAGTCAAGCTTCATTAATTGACACGAATTCATTATGAACATTGTTAGAAAGATTAGAAAAATGATATAAAACTGTATTTAATGTATATTTGTGTCATTGGAAGATTGCTGGTACTTATAGCTCAGGTATTACCTATTTTAAGTGCCAGCCGAACATGTTTTGGAATGTAAATGTGCATACCTATAAAATTGTCAAAGAGTCAGTAACTATTGTAAAAGAATAAAATAAATAAATAAATAAATAAATTTGTATTTTATTGTTAAAATAGTAAACAATTTAATCTAATTAGAAACTAATACTTATACCTGTGGATCTAGACGAATTATAAAGTGGACATAAAAGAAGTAATGTTAGCAATACTGAGCAAAAAGCAATGAAATAATATAAAAATACCAACGTATACATACAAGAATACATACATTCATATTCATATATATTGTGGTATATATATACACATACATATATACCATAATATATAAAGTATCATAATTGTGATGATTCTGCTACATTCCGGTATCTGGTCAGCGTCCTTACCTGTGTCTTGAATTCCATGCCTAGTCATCCTCCGTCTACCTAGTCCTTCAGTCTACTAAAACACGGCTGAACTTTGATTTTTCACATGGAGCGCCTGCCATCAGACCTCAAAAACCCAAGTACTAAGCGATATCGAAGTTCGGTACCTAAACTGTGGTCGGTCTTTTTAGGACTTCAACTATCCGAAACGATTGCCACTGATGTTCGTATGGCAACCGACTGCTTAACCGTGTTAAGAATGGTCACCCAACCCTAAACTGACCTGGCTAAGATTGCTTAACTTTGCAAAGCGCTAATCTTCTTACTTAGCACTTAGCCACGAGCCCCTTATCAGTATGTAGTGATTATCATAATCAGTTATTGACAGAACTTTAGAGGCTTGACCTTTCAAAGATAAATATCGTAAGTGCTTTTCAGATCAATGAAAGCGATACGTTTTAATCGGCTGCGTATTTTGAAATTACCCTTTTCTCTTATATAATAAAATTAACAAAACGGAAAACATATATCAAAATTATTTTTATCAAAGATTACCATATTTTTTTAGATTTGTCTTGTCAAGTAGCAGTGGTTGTGTAAATCAGTCACAGGTGTGATAAATGATTTATAATGCATATGATTTATCACATGTGATTGTGATTTTATACCATTTGTAATAATACCTTCACACATCACACACAGGGCCGTCTGATCCAAAAGTAAGCGAAGCCTGTACTATGTTAACTAGTCTCCCGATAAACATACCTATACCATAGTTCTAATTATATACATATTATAGACTAGCTGACCCGCGCAACTTCGTCTGCGTCTCTCAATAGTAATAAATTTTCTCCGTTTTTGAAACATTCTACATTGGTGCTCCGCTCCTATTGGTCTTAGCGTGATGATATATAGAATATAGCCTTCCTCGATAAATGGGCTATCTAACACTGAAAGAATTTTTCAAATCGGACCAGTAGTTCCTGAGATTAGCGCGTTCAAACAAACAAACTCTTCAGCTTTATAATATTAGTATAGATATATAAAAAAAAGAAGATAAATTTATACGTGTAGTGGGGGATTAAGAATACGGAGTCGTACCACGCCTATTCATCTCGTAGGTGTCGTAACAGCCCCCTAAGAGAGTAAACTACGCAAGACAACAGCACTGCAAAGAGAAGGAAAACTTGATACAAACCTTATACCAACCCGTCTGGCCAGCGTGGTATAGTAGGCCAAGACCTCCTCTCTAGGCAGAGGCCTATATCCAGCAATGGACTACTAAAGGCTGTTGATGATGAGCACTGGACGGCGATAGGATGATGATGGGTTAAAACAAATGGTGGTCTTTTATGTTAATTTATATAAATGTGAGTGATTGCTACAAAAACAATAATTAAGATAACTTACAGTTACACTACGGTACAATAGTACAGGTAAATTAGCTTGGAGAAATTTTTGCGTTTGTAGTAGTGTATGGTACGGACAGCGTAAACTGGTTTATTCTGGTTTTGTGCGTGTTTCCACTTTCCACTATCAAGTGACGATTTTTTGCTTTAGATTGAAAATAACAAAAATTATAGCTAGTTTTT